CACCCCTCCCCCCCCCCTTTTTTCGGACATCTCTGGATCTGCCCTTGTTATTTAAACATATCTCCAGGGTATGTTATCTAAATTCATCCCTTTCCCCCAGTGTATATTTTCTGGATCACTCCCCTGGCCCTACTGAACATATTATCTAGATCCCTTCATTGTACCAGTAGATGTTATCCAGAATGACCAAAACTTAACAGGTGCTGACCAGGGTTCATTCAGGTCATGGCTAGGGTTCATTTGGGTCAATCCCTGGTGAGCACAAAGGTCATATCCTGTAAATAGTTTTAGCGCTCATTTGGCTTGGTAAATTTAATTTTTATTAGTTCCTATGCATGTAATGCAATAGGAACTCTTGTATTCACTTTTGTGTGTGCGTGTGTATTCTGTTCCAACAGTGTAAGTTACACCAGTGATATTGTAGCGCTTGTTATGAGGCTGACATCGAACATATGAACGGGGTAACCTGATAAAAACCAAGCGCTTCAACCCGCAAGCTAACACAACAAATGACCGGATTGTCAAGGCTCTCATCCGATAGAACTCTAGAATTCTACTAGGCCTAAATGTCAACAAAAGCATCCTTAAATTTACCTTTTTTAGTTGTTTTTAACTTCATAGTTGTCAAAATTAATCCAAATAAAACATTACAGGATAAATTTATATTATTACCGTTCGTTGTAAACTTAAATATATAAATTTTCATGTCTTATTTTGGGAAATGCGCAAAATACTGTGGTAGTTTGTTCGCTGTATTCAAAGATACGGCTAAACGAGATACGGTGAATGCCGGTGAGATACTGTACTTACATGATTCTGAACTTACAGCTAAAACGGTAGCCTTATTTTTAGCCACTGGAATTCACACACTAACTCACTAACTTGTAAAAAATGTTAATCTTCTCAGCTTTTGTCTACACATTGGACTTCATCAGCAGACATTCCCAAGGAATGTTATTTATTCTGTGTCACTATAAATCCCCTTCTTTTGTTTCCAGAAAATGTTCTGTATCTTGTTCTTAGTGTATTTAAGCAAAGATCTTATAATAACAAGATAGCGTTCTCCGCGGCTTGCGCGCAACAAAAAAAAAGCGTCCAATTCATGCAGTAAACAATAGGAAGTAACTGAGAGAGGGAGTCCTAGTTGTTACTATGGAAGTTGTTCCAGAATTTGCACGGAGATCACAGATGTAAAAGTTCAAAAGTAATTGTAATTGCAAGAGGGCATCCTGAACTACGTTATTACAGAATTTGCACGCAGAAATCGCGGAGCACGCTATCTTGTTATTATAAGATCTTTGATTTAAGTCATTCCCTGTCCTCAGACAAGTCATCTAAATGTGTACCAAAAGAGTATTTTATCTTAATTCAACCCTTTGCTTTCAAGGTATGTTACCTAATCACTATCTATATTCCTGTTCTGACCCAAAATTTTGTTTTTATAAATTTTTACATGGTTCTCTTTTATTTTTTGTTGAATGTACTGTAGAACAGAGAAATTGTTCATGAATTACAACCTGCAATAAATAAAGCAGAAGCAACCATGAAAGACATGTTAATGGCAAAGAAGGTAAGCGTAAAGTTTTGTAATAGCACCCCATATACAAACAAGCCATAGCATTCTAGTTCACACACACTTGCTGTAAAATCTATATACACACTTGACTATATCACATCAATAAGCATCTGTTAGAGCAAATTTGTGGGTAATGTTCATAAAGAAAACTTAGAGTAAGGACTTCGAGAGATGACTGCTCTTGATAAAGAGGTCATTGATTTCACCTTGGTGACAGCTATATGAATCTGCTGTAGAGTAAATGAAGGTACTGGTTGCTGTATTTATTATTAATAATTATACTTAGACATAGACATCACTTTTTCATTTTTGGTCTTAGACAATTTGTGAGGCAATGCCTGAAGTAAAATTTGAAGTAGCAAAGGTGGTGGGTGAAGTGAGGACACACTTTTCAAGACTTCATGCAATCTTACAGGCAAGGTATGCTAAGTTTATCCATTTTTACTATTATTTGATTTTGCTATATGGTATGAATAGATGCTACCGTATTTTCACATAGTTATCACCTGGTAGTAGTCTATGATTGTGATTTAAATGACTTCAGCATAGCACAGTCGGCTAACCTAGTGGAACACTGTGTGTGCACTGAACTATAAAGATCCCTGGATCAATTCCATTGTCCTCCTAGGTTCCTGCTTAAAGACTAAAATGTGGCGAAGACAAAGCCAAACCAGTCACTCGTCGCAAAAATTGATTTTGAGTTATTAATACAGGGTTAAATAGTAAAATAAGAGCTATAAAACGGTAAAAAAATCATTCAAATCCGACATTTCCTTATGAAGTTACAAGCATTTAAGCATACAGCTGTTTAAAGAACAGTATATGAGAAATCAGCCTTCAAAGTTTATGATTTCATGCATTTCTCATGCAGAAACTATCATAAAATCATTAAAAAGTGTTGTTTTAACATTGAAATTTGGAAAAATTACAGCACAGCATGATGTATAGATATATAAACCTTAGTTTAGCAAAATAAAATAAATTTTTTAAATTTTACATTCTAGCATGTTTTTGCTATTTTCTCTGAAACAAATTTGCGACGAGTGACTGGTTTGGCTTGTCTTTGCCACAAATACTCTTTACACTTATTGGAAAAATTACTGAGGTATTGTCGCGCCTCGCACCATTGTCAACCGCTGTGTAAGCATCATAAATTTAATGAAATTGTCGCAGTGATATTTATAAACTTTGTGTAGGCTTCAGTTCACTTATTTTAATAACAGTGCTTATCACAAATGATTGGAGTGTGTCAAGTCAAACAACAACATGTATGCAACTGCCATATGTTGTACATAATAGGCCTCTCTTATTTGACATTAGTAATATTAAATAAGTGAGTCGGTTTTATGGTCCCGATAATGCAAAGCCCAAGACATGTTTTCTCTAATTTGGAGACGTGCTAATTCCAGAAAGGCGCTTATTTGATCATTTGTGGTATATCATACATCTGAAACCTTGCAGTGATGAATTTAGTCTTTTGCAAAATGAAACCATGTAAACATAAACCAATAAGTATGATTAATTTAGGTTAAAGGAAGGTGATATATATGTGGTGATGATTGCTAACATTTCTGTCTCTCAAGAAACTTGTTGTAGTACCAACCATCTTTTTAAATTCTAGAGAAATGGCATTGATTGACAATTTAGATGCTTATCTGGAAACGCAAATTGACACAGTCACTTACGTACAGAGAACGCTGGAGACGAACATAAGTTGTGCACTTGGTGCTATCACAGGTAATATATTTAATCATCCCAAAGGTTTTGCAAATTATAGAGTCAAACCTCCAATGCTGTTTGCTTTAGCGGTCTTCTATAAAAGACACATAACAAGGTCACCATTGATAAGGTGCCATACGGATGGCTGAGCAGTTAAGGCAATGCTGGCCTATGGTTCTGGAAGTGGAAAAAGTCTTCTTGGATAAGGACTCTAAACTGTGCACAATTAGCTTATCTTAAAGAACCCATTACTGTATATCCTTCGAGGTGTGTAGGTGGTTACTCCGGTGTACTAGTCCATGCAACCCCTGTTGTAGACAGACGACAGACGAGGGTAGCTGGCACCGGTTTACAAGCTTTTTATTCAATCTTGTGTTTGTACCGTCTTTTGGAGCCACTATCTTGGCTGCAGTCTCTGAGCACCAGTTCGCTCCAGTTTCTTGCAATATTTGCTATATAAATATTTTTATTTATTATTATTATTATTTACCTGGTAGCTCAAAAAGAACCTTAGGAAAGAAGAAAATTACTGTATGAGCTAATCCATGCCTCAATCATTTTGAGGCTCTGGTTTAAAGCACTATATAAATCCCACTATTATTATTCATTATTATTAAAAACTGTTGAATGTGGAACTTACCTTGTATTAACATATTACTTCCTAACTTACTAATTCAGAGGCCCGGAAAGCTACCAGCACTAACAAAGTCATAAACACCACACAACTTCTTGCACTCTTGGACGCAACAACTGACCTACCATCCCTGATAGTGCCTCCTGGTGCAAACCATCAACTGCAATTCAAGCTAGACCTAGAAGACCTACCAGATATGATCGCAAACTATGGTTCAATAGAGGGCTTTGATACTGACAGGTAAGATAGCCTTTTTTTAGATACCTCTGCAAAGTAGGTAATGTATCCACTTCTGTTTGTTGTCTGTCTGCCTGCCCCACAAAAACTAAAGAATGGATCAAAGGACAAAGTTAAGGCCACAGAAATTTAATTTTAGATCCCAATTTTAATTGGGATCTACGTTTGCAGACCTGGCAACCGCCCCTATTTAATCGAGATACTCCTGATTTCCGATGTTAAAAACGACAAACAATCGGGACGTTCCTATTTTTAGAATTTTCTAGCCATTTTTTTTTTCGAAAAAAAGTACGAAAATTGACTAAAAATGCCGATAATCGGCAAAAAAAACGATCGTTTTTTTCCTCTTGAGCACCGGGAACAAGATGTAAAGGGCGCCATCAACATTACAAGTGTGTTTTTTTCTGCACGTAAGTTGTGTAGTGATTGGCTTACTTATCTAGAGACCTTGCAATAGGCTAAATTTACAGTACCTGCAGACTCGTTTCCCTCACATGTACTATGAAGACAAATAATAGGTTATGACCTAGGCTTCAATTGGCAGGTGTTTTAAGCCTAGCCTACTAGACTGATTAGGCCTAGCCTACTAGACTGACTAGTCTGGTTAAGCCTATACCTAGGATTTGTCTTAGGCCTAGTCCTGGCTGGGCAAAAAGGACCAAGGCCTATTAAAATAAATATTGTACAAACATATCTTTTATGTAAAATTTTGTTTCTGTTATGGCCTTTTTCTGTCAAAGATTTGGCTTTCGTCATGTGTCATTCGTCTAAAAATGCAAATGGCGTTATGAGATCAGCGAAACAAGCAACATACTGACCCATGCCCTTTATGGTGAAGTCTGTAAGCCTACTGATTAAAATGTAACTTAAATATCTGTTGATTGTGAGGTAAATAAACAGTACATTTGAAATTAAGTAACTCTTTTTTTAATTTAAAGCAACTGTACAGGAATTAGGATATTATATAATTACCATCTTACAAATTGTTTGGGGTGGGGGCGTGGCACCAACGAATAGCGTCCCTATTTTTGATATTCGAATGTTGGCAGGTACAGTATGTGTTTGTCTAATTTTCTAGGCTTATGGTTGATAATAGCCAGTAGTTTTCATGATTATCGATCAAGTGCTTCCACAAAACTGCTCCGAGAGTCGACAGGTACTGTAGCATGTAGCGATTTTATGAAAACCAGCTTTTACAGCAAATTCAATATTTTTCTACAAATTGCAGGTACAAATTAAAAGCACTGACTGAGATCTCAGAAGATGTGACTCGATATCAGTCGCTTAGCAACGAGAACCAACTCTTGATTGACAGAATGGTCGTGGAAATGCAAAACTCTTGTAAAGAACCCGACAGCCAATCAGGTGACATTTTGTGTTGGTTGCGATATCGTAGTGTATATTAGTACTAAATTGTAAAATCTTTTTATGAATGCAATTTTTGAATTGTTAATTGGAAACTAATTTTACAAGCATTCATCGTTGTTTTGGTACTACTGTATATTTTAGATGTTATTTTTATATTTGACATAATCTGTATTACATACAACATAGAAATTTGTTCGAAAGAGCTATAAACCAACCTGGCAGTAAGCCAAAACGGCATAAAACGTTTGCCGTAACCATACCATTAATTTGTTTGTACACTCGTTTTGGTTCGTGGAGCTTTGTTATTACTTGCTGTTTTGGTTTATTACTGTTTTTCGTTTATTGCGGTTTTGGTTATCACTGTCCTGGTTAAGGCATTAAGCGCTATATAAGAACGACATATTATTATTATTATTATTATTATTATTATTAATGCTATGTTTTTCTCAAAAGCTGTGATTCATATACTTTGGCATGCATTTATTTCTGATGTATTTACATGTTCCTTTCTTTCTTTTTATGTATTCTTAGTCAATGGTGAAAATAAAAATTCTGAGCCTAGCAGTCCAATTGATACAAACCAGAGTAAGGCAACAAGTCCAGAATCTAAAAACAGAAAGCCATACAGACAAAGGACCTACTTACCAAGAGGTAGGTAGATAGGCTGCAATGAATTGGTGTTTAAGATGTTTACCATTAAACTGTGGATTCAAATCCTTTCAGGTGCAGGAATTTGCTTCCAGAGTAAAAAGTACTACACTCCCAAATCCTCAAAAACTGATTTAGAGTTTATAGATTATAATTTTATGTTAATTATTGAAAATTTCTTTGGCTGGAATGTTTGACCACCTATATTTATAAATATAATTTATTTCGATATTGATTTTGTTGAAGGTCCATTTAATTTAAAAAACTTTATTGTGCAAAAAATACTTCTAAAATAATGAAAATTATACTTGGATGTATTGTCAGCTATTTTGTGAATGTACAAATGATGTGAATATATAGGTAGACACACATGCAGATAGACACATAATAGGAAGACAGACAGATAGAGACAGACTAATTGTAATAATTTTTGTTTTAATCTTCTGGCATAAACATTAGAAAAATTGTAATAGATTTCAAAATTATTCTCTTTTTGTAGAACCCCCAGGTGAGAAAGTGATAGTAACTCATATTCGTAGTCCATGGGACTTCATGGTTCAACGACTTGGTGACCAAGGCAAGGTGAATAACATGATGGGATATCTACAGAAGTTCTGCAGGGCTCCCACAGAAAAAGAATTGACTGCAGATGCTCTGAGCATAGGTAGGTTTCAGTTCATATTATGATTTAATTTATATTATATTTAATTGATTGTTTAATAAGATTAACTGAGTTTTTAACTACCATTATTTTTTCTGAGATTTTCAGTTTTTCACAGCAGCAGGTGCGTTAATGGCCAAAAATAAAATTTTATTTTTATTTGAGATTTTCAATGTTGGAGGGCAGTGGGTTTGCGAAACAGGGTATAAAAAATGTCTTGCCTTATTTCAAATAAAATTTTATTTTTGGCAAGTAGTGTTATTTATGTTCAAGCAGATATTATTATATTATCCCATAATTGAATTAGACTAAAAAATATCAATTTCAGTTGTCTTGTACGTTGTAAATTATGGAATGATTGTCATTTTTTTTTGTTACTAGGAACTATGGTTTGCTGTCAGTACAGCTTTGATAAGAAATGGTACCGTGCCATCATCATGTCGTCGCCCAAGAGTGTCGGTGAAGAGGACGATGAAGTGGAATCGAAAGATGATACCTGTAGTGAGATCAGTGAATCTACTAGCATGAGAAGTGTCGCATCTAACAAAGGCAGAGATGGATATGTAGAAGTCGTGTATATTGATTATGGCAACACAGAGTGGGCTCCAGTGACAAGGTTTTCTATTTATGTTTGTCCAGTTTTGGTTCAAAGAATCTGATATGAATGTAGCAGCATTGGTATATAGGTCTTCCTCCAATTAAAGACCACGTTTGCCACCAGGGTGTCTGCGGTCGCTAATTAGAATAATAATGACAAGATATTCGGAGATTTCAAACCCTTGCCATGTTGCGCCACATCTATGTACTGAGAAAATAGTGGCCTGTGGTCGCTCCGCTTGAGTGGGCTCACCCTAGCCAAATGAGGCCTAGTGTAGTCATGCATAGAAGTAGTCCACTTACTAGAAGTTGACACACCGCTTACTCTGGCCTGTGGTTAATACGCTCTAGTCGGCGCTACCTAGCCAAATGAGGTCAAACAATCCGCTCGAGTTGGCTATCTGTAATTACAGCTGAAAGATATATATATATATATATATAACATTATAAAATCTCCATCTTACTGCCAGGAGGATCGAGATACATGTAACATTGTCAATGTGTAAATTGCCCCAGTAGTTTTTGAGTTATGCCCTTAGAAGGACACACACACCCCACACACAGACGCACACATGCACAGATGCGCAATATTGCCATACACTTCAACTCTCCTTTGGAGAGGTAAGGGTGATAATAGACATTTGTTAATACAACAAAACAGGAAAGTGATCTGTAATTTGGAAGTAGTTTTTAATTAGAGGTAGACCTGTAGTTGCAAATCAGTCACTAGATGAAAATTATTATGCAAAGATTAGGATAATGCATCAAAAAATTGCCAGTCAAGAACAAACGAAAACTAAGACAATGACTTATTTCATTCTCTAATTAGATATTTAGTAACTTGCTTAAATTCTTCTTTTAGCATCCGCAAAATGTGCACAAAGTACAAGAAAATGCCGGAGTTGGCGCTGCGTTGCTCTTTGAAGGATATTGTGCCAGCTAACAATGTAGGAACTGGTTTTGTATCTAAATCATAGAAAAACTGAGTAATTTCAGTTTGTGACTTTTTGAAAGTTCCTTTAAGGAGTTGTTGTTTTATTTATTTATTCTTTCTTTATACTGTAGGCATTTTCAGTACTATTGCACTAATTTTCAAAGTGGTACAGTTCAAACCTAACAAGAATATATACGATATATAGAATTGATTAACAATTATAAAATATATACACATATATATTTCATTTTTTCATAGAAATAAATTTGTTTAGTGATATTATTTTGGAATGGATGTACAGTATTGAAATATTTTGAAAGTTAATTTTTAATTCATTAGGTAGTTTATTCCACATTTTTGTTGACCAGTAATGTTTGTCCATTTGTGGACCAGAACATTCCTATAACTGCATTGCGTTGTCAGTATGTTATATATGTGGCCTGTAACCTGCTTGCCTTCCAATTCATGTGTTTCATTTTATGATGGAATTCTTATTTATCCATTAGTTTTTATTAATGTTATTTTTCCAGAAACCTCATTGGTCAAGAGTAGCAGTGCATGCATTTGCAGAAATGACCAGCAACAAACCTTTGCACATGACCGTAAGTAGATTTGATATCAAAAGTGTATTTTTTTCACCATATACAGTATGTAGAAGGTGACCCTTGCAGCGTATCCAAGAAGGTTGACTGATATTCAGGGGCCCTCTTTAAATATATGAAATAATGTAATACTGTTATCAGTGAAGTCTCTATATGAGGCTTAGGGAGGGGAGTTGTTTTTAGTCATCAGAAAAAGTCCTGCTGTCACAAGAATTGAACCCAAGACCCTGGGATTAGAAGGCAAGCATCTTAACCACTAAGCAATTCAACACCCTTAGGGCGAGTCGAGTGGCCGAGCGGTAAGGCAGGGTGCCACTAGCTACAGCCTTGACATTGGCGCTAGTTCAAGCCGCTCCTTGCCCATGCTTTAGTTGGTAGAACCAAGTCTTCTCGGATAAGGACTTAAAATAGAGGTCCAATGTATACATCTGGCTTGTGTGCACTTAAAGAACCCATTGCATCTTTCGGATGAGTAGGGGGTTACCCCAATGTTATGGTTCATTTCATTCTCTGTCGTGGAATGATGTGAACATGTATCTACCATGAAGCACCTACTGTATTTACGGCTGCTAGGTAGTCATGGACCACGCCCATACGCAATTCAGCACAATGCTGCTGCAAGTTATGGGTTATTCTCCTACCTTTACCTTTACCTTCCTCTCTGACATCATTGTGCTGCCTCAAATTGTGTTTGTAACACCATTCAGTCTTTTACCTCATTTAATGTATGGAGATTACCTGATTCTAGATTATTGTATAATATATTAATAAAAAACTTAATTTAGTTTCTTAAATCAGAAATAGTATCTATACAATTTTTTAAACATGAATTATACATCCAATCAAATTCATATTAGAAATAGGTTAATATATTCAACAATTATTTTTATCATATTTTTTAAACCCTATTGAAAAATGATTTCCATTGATCTTCATTGACCTATTGATTTAAATTGATCTTTATTAATGTATATTGATCTTTATAAATAAAAATTAATAATAAAATAAATAAATATTGTTGTGCATATTCATCAAGATTGATATGAATATTCATTTTTATAAATTGATCCTCATTAGTCTTAATTGATCCTAAATAATCTGTACCTTGTTTGATCTGTATTTTTATCTTTGTTGATAGCAATAATTGATTTGAATGATCATCTGTTTAATCTTAATTGATCTAGATTGACCATGACTGACAGTAAAGATTTTTTGCAGGCACACAATGAAACGAAAATGCAGTACCACCACAAAAATAGGGGGTGCTGTATTAGAATTGAATAAGAGTTTGAAATTTGAACAGGCATTCTTTACACAGTGCGCGTTAATACATACGACTTTTACGTATGTATCATCTAATTTTAAGGATGCCCTGTAATTCGTGGTGGCACTTTTTGAATAGGATTCTATTTCACAGAAACACCGACAGTCAACCACCACTTGTCCTATTTACTGACAGTAAAATTCTATTTGTACTACCTCAGATTGTTGGCAATGAGGGCAGCCTTCCGTATGTCGATCTCCATGAAGTTCTGATTGACGATGTTGAATCAGAGGCGCCTGCTTCATTGAGAGATGCTCTTGTTTTCTTGGAGCTGGCATGCTTCATATCAGAAGAGTCAATCTGTAGAGGTACTACTGTGTTAATATTACTATTATTAATTTTTATTATTTGTGAATAAATTAATTTGGACCGCAAGTATGGTATGGTTTAGAAAAATTGGATGATCCCAAAGAAACTAAACCATGAATTATATTTCTTTTGCAGACACAGTAAAGAAAACATCAACAGTTGAATACTTCAAGCCATATCTACCAAATAAAAACGATTATATTGATGTGATGGTCAGTCATATTAATAGTCCACACAACTTCTATGTCCAAGAGGTGAGAATCATTGCTCTGAAGCCTGTTAGCATTTTAAAAAGGTTATGGTGCAGCAGTGGTAAGGGGGTCAGAGCACATGTTCCCTGGTTAGAAAACTAGTCATGCCGATCTTAATGTGTGTGCTTGGGTATCTGTGCTTTTCAGGTCTAAATGTCTCATAAGGCAAAAATAGTCTTACACTTTTTCTTATATATTCTGTCGTTATCCAAAATTTTTGCATCGTTCAATTGTCAGGTGTCCGTCGCCTAGTAAAATTAGAATGCCTAGTAATATTTTTATTTTTCACTCCAGTCTCCATGTTATTGACATGTCCGATCATCGTAGATTAAAAATGTGATAATGGTAACGCTCCCTTAGAATGCAATACAAATTCATTTGAATCTCAATTTTGTGTCGATAGAATGTATAAAACAAACTTTTAAGAAAATTAGCTTGAAAAATATGCAAGCTTCAGGCATTTTTGTCTGGAAATACTGTCTCATTTTGCTTCTATATTCTATAATATCCTCAGAACTTGACTATAATTAATTTTTCCCTTAATGTTTCTTCTTTTTGTGTCCTATAGATTGTACTTGGCGACCAATATCTACAGACCATGATGGACGAGCTACAAAAACATTACAGTAGCTCTGACAATAGTTGGCATGTACTATGTCCACACATGGGAATGGTCTGTGTAGCCAAATATGCTGATGATGACTTTTGGTACAGATCTCAAGTAGTTGGTAATGTATTTGAGTAATTAATTGTATTTCAAAAGATAATAAAACAAAGTTATTCTAAATAATTAAACCATAGCAGTGTATTTTATTTTAAATTCAATACTGTCTTATTACATTACCCCCTTAAAGTTTGAATTTGCATGTTGCAATCGCATATATAATAGTGTTTTAATATCTGTTGTTTTAAAGAAGCAGTTACATCATCATTTTTTGGCTCTCAATTAAGTAATAATCCTTGTATACCTCTGTTTAATGATTTTTCTACCATTTTATTGTTAGAACATGCCTTCACTTATGTCTATTTACACAAATTTAGAACGGGCCATGATACAGATAGCTCCAACCATTTTTTTTACAGGTTTACCTGGAGATGGTATGGTAGATGTGATGTATGTAGATTTTGGAAATGTCAGCAGGGTGCATGTTAAAGATCTTCGAATGATGGCAGCAAACTTTCTTAAATTACCCATACAGGTAATAAGATAATTCTAAATGTAAATTTTAGAATATTATAAAATACATACTGCTTAAAGTAGTATAATTTTATAATTGAATAGGCTTACCCCATTTAAGTTATACCTGATACACGAAAGACATATCCTGTATTTATTTGAATAAATGCCCTACTTTGAATAAACACCCCCTCGAATAGATGCCAAGTCTATGTAGTACAGAGAACGTTGGATGGATACACAAGTGTGAATCCGTTCTTGCGTCACACAGTCGCGCAATTCAAAAGCTCCTTAAAAATAGCAAGACTCCTGCTAAATGTTACATGGCTTTCCAAGATATTCCTACCAAAATAATCGTCTTCACATATTTTGTTTTTGTTTTTTTCCTAGGCTCTAGCTTGCTCTATGGTTGATGTTGCTGCAGTAGGTGGTAGCTGGAGTGAAGAATCTGCTACAAGACTTGGTGAGCTGTCTACCACACCATTAGTCATAGCAGTTCAAGGTAATTATCTCCTCTCGTTGGTTGAGAAATTCTCTCTCTTAATTCATAAAGGTGCAAATAGTTTTGAGTATAGATGATGGGTTCTCATGACACCTGGTTAAAATTACAATTTAATATCTTGAGAAATTCATATTTTAAAGTCAGGTCGGAAACAGTGACATTTTATTACTTGACTGAATTATAATCATTGACTGTCTATCTGACACCTGTTATCCACATTTAACATTTTGGTTTTATTGCTCTAACATTGTGGTTTTATTGCTCTCATATTTTGTAACTGTTCGCTATGTATGTAGTCATTTTACAACCATTGTAACTTGGTTGTGTTGTCTTAATGATTTAAGCTCTTTGTTTTATCCTGTAATTAGATAGTGCAGGTGAAATTAGCTGAAATAGTACTTTATACATAGATATGTGTTGGTTGGCCTTTTCTGTATTGTTTATTTTTCTGCCCCTCAACAGGCGTAAAAAATGACATCGTTTCTGTTCTACTGTATTCCCCACATCAGAAGGATGATGCCTGCCTGAATGCTGTACTGGTTGCTGAAGGATTGGCTAAAAGCACCGGACCAGGGTAAGGCTTCTATAGTTACGTTCACCAGACATAGCTCACACCATGGTGTGAATTAACGCCAAGCTATCGTATAATTCAAACTGAATGCTTATCAGTGAACATCTAAACATAAAATGGGTCGCGTTGGATGAAGTGTCACATCAAATGGCACAAACCTGTAAGCTAGCTGGCTTGAAACATTTGATGCGAGTACAGTTTCACACATTGTACTTACTACCTCAACCAGGTAGTTCAGGTGTGAACATTTTCATGCCACCATAATTGTGTCAGTCAAAAGCGTGAATTTTTAACCAGTATTTCTCTGCTTCAGTGAGCACTAAAACGCCTGTTTATGCCAGTGTTAATTTATCTGTGTATGACTGAGGTGTGTTTAGCTGTACTTGGTTCAGTTGGTATATATATTTCATGTACTCAATCTTCGTATAGTACAAGTATATGCGTTTTTTACTCATGTATCAAATAAAAGTTTTCCCCAAGGAGCAAAGATTGGATTCTGTTGATCTTTGCAAACTTGAATCTTTTCATACAACAGTTCCGTCAATGCAGCCGTCTTCAAGAAGTACCAGAAGAAGGCCAGTAACCAGGAGAAGATGGATGACCGTACCACTGCAGTCCCTGAGCCCTTAGACATTATATACAGTAAGTCGGAAGCTGAAGCCATGAAGAAGAAAGCATCAGAGGCCAAGAAAAAGCTTCCATATGTTGGTGTGAGGATCAGCCATGTGGTGTCACCATCATGTTTATATGTGCAGTTAAAAACAGCAGGCAAAGATGGATTGGAAAGGTATTGCTATTTTTGGAATACTTACCTGGATAAACTGACAATTTGCCAGTTGTCCTGAATTACAGTAGACCACCCCTCAAAAGATAATGAAAGTTTTTGTCCCAGCACAATATGCCACTCTAACTTACTCTCCTTTCACCAATATATAAAATCTATGGTATCATTTTGGTATTTATTTCCTAAAATAGCCATCAATATGTTATTATCTGTTTACGTTCTTGATTATGTATTTAGTTGTTTGTTTTTGTTTGTCAGTTTACAGAAGGCAATGATGGAGCATCTAATGAAGACGCCAGTGGACACTGGAGACTGGACAGAAGGTGACATTGGTGCCATGATTTACATGTCTAATGATTTCTACAGCAGGGCAAAGGTTATAGAACTCATACCAGAAAACAAGGCCAAGGTAGGATTGCCATCACATCAGTAGTCTAACTTGAATCTCCACTGTCTATTTGTATCAATTTCAATCCCAACACGATGGCGTGTATTTCAATACTTGGAGTATGTAATATACTTTCTTATCTGAGATTAATCAGTGGACCTTTCGGTTTTTGTATCAATTTCATTCTTAATATTTTAAGTGATCGATTTTAAATATCTGCATGACTTTTTAAACATTTTTATCAATGGTATTTTAATTGTAATTGCTTTTGTGTCTTTGTATTGCCAGAGGAAAACAAATTGCCAGTTGTCTTATTGGACAATAAATGTTATTTTATCTCATCTTACCATAGAGGAAGATCCACTGATGGAATTGGAATTGAATCATGTTATTGTTATTAAAACTTTCTATTATCATATGGTAATTAATGAAGGTGTGTTCAGCCTTCACTCTGCTTTACATATTTTTCAAATTTTACACTATCCCTAATTACTCTACAGGTTGAAATGATAGATTATGGAAATACCAATGTTGTAACTGTTAGTAAGCTTCGAAGGCTAACTTCTGAGCTGGCATCGATTCAGCCATTTGCTATACGCTGCCATCTTGCTAACGTGTTCCCGGCCGGTGGCAAGGACTGGACAAAGACTGCTTGTGAGTACTTGGCTGGCAAGCTGCAGGAGCTGGAATGCTACATTTTGAAGGAGGTAAGTGTAGTGCTTTGCATTGTAGCAGTTTTCATTACAATTCTCATCATCAGAAAGTTACTGTAGCACACCATTTTTCTGAAGAAATATTAAGTACATGTATTAAAGAAATCTACACCACAAAAAAAAAGTTGTTCCTTAGGTTTTTTTTTTTTTTGTTATTTTTTAAATCTGAATTTATATAGCACCTTTCACAATTTGAAGAATATACAAGGCACTGGCATCATAATTTACCTGGTCACTTGATGCTGAGTTTGCAAACAGGCACATTTTGTGCCACTTTCTCTGCTCCCTGGGGAAGAGTATCCCTAGTCATACTGTTTAACCCATAATTTCAGTGCCATACCCTCTTACTAGGTATTAATTTATACTCCTGAGTGGAGAGAGGCAAACGTAAGTAAAAGTATGTTGCCCAAAGACACAAGCAATGCGAAGAGCGCCCGTCTCAAACTCCTGATCTCATGGTCAGAATTCCAACACCACACTGCGACACATACTGCTACAAACATCATTCGTTAAAACATCTTCAGTATATTGAAGGCAACAGCATACCAGATGTAGTAGTTAAAATTCCTAGCTCAAAGATTTAGAAAGAATAGGCAGTATTTGGATCCAAGTCCATATTGATATAAATCCCTCATTTTGTTTATATTATCTTAATTTAGGATGAAATAAATAAAGATGGCTCTTTTCCGATTGATCTCCTGTATAAGAAGTCATGGAAAGAATTAGCAAAGGGAAAAAATACTGAGGAGACGGAGCTTGTGTCGGAGCTTTTGATAAACGATGGCTTGGCATTACCCAGTCCACAAAGGTATGTATGAGTCTGAGACAAAAGCATTTACCCCATCCCTAGTAGTAGATTTCTAGATAGACAGTAGCATACTATATGTGTTATAGTTTTGTAGGTGTTAGAAATGAACACCTTTGGCCTTTAATCATTTTTCTGGCCTAGGGAGGGGGTTAGTATCTGTCAAGGGTCCCACCCAAGTTTACAGGATACGAAATGTGGAGTGAAGAGTATGCCTGGTGGAAAAAACTTTTACATTTTGATGGCTTTTAGCTGTCCTTCTAATGTCTGAGCATGTGCTATTTACCCACTATACTAGGGATCAAAATAAAATTTATAATTTAATAAAAAAATAAGCTAATTGTGTAAAGCAAGTAAACTTGAAAAAAAAAATCATATGGTTCATTTATTATTTTCATCATTTTCACAGGGAGGGGGTTGATGGCATTGTACACTTTTAAAATAGTAAGAAAATGGCAATTGGAAATGTATTAGTTGTTGTTCCCAAAAACCCCATAGCCAGCCAAATTTTAATGTTACAGATTGAATTTACTTGTAAATGGTCAGTTTGTTTATACACAAGTGTCATTTTACATCTCTGATTAATGATGTGTTTACAAGTATTGTGTCTCAAAATACCAGGGAATCTTGCTTTATCTTTCTGTAAATTTGACGTAAACAAGGATAAACTTTATGCTAGTAGCCAAAAAAAAATACCAAAAGCCTGATGGTGTAATGATGGGACCATGTTTCACTGTGCTGTCCTAAGCCTTCCTAATTCTTCTACTAATTCCTACCTTTTAGATTCACACTTGCTATTTAACTTTTTAACACAATTTATTATTTGTGTTCCATGGATATTCATGATGACGTAGGCTTTACATGTTCCATTACTAAATACATCAACAACTTTGTACATTCTCAAGCCTAGACATTGAAAGTTGGCCCTCATCTAAAAAGCAAAAACAAATCATGCACCATTAGGTGAAAGGCCAAGCATGTGTTTTCTCTCCCTGTGCATTAATGAATAAATTTTATTTTATTTTATTCAACTTAACTGGATCACAAAAAGAAACGCCATAAAGGCAAGTACAGAACAGGTGAATAAGCACCTCTACAGAGCTGTTTTACCACCATATAAAGATCTATTAAAGCTATAAAAATAATATAATTTGTATAAAGATTTGTCCAATTTGCAAAAAACAATTAAAATTTGAATAGAAAATGTTCATTATCTAACAACAACCAGGGCAGTGACAAAACGAAACCCATGTGCAGATATTATCAGAATTTTTACAAAATAAAATCTTCAATAAAAACATTAGATTTGTTTACAGCCATTTAGGGGGTAGGGGCATTTATTCAAGAAAAATAATGAATACCCAATGCATTTATTCCAAATGAGGCTCCAGAGGGGGCATTTACTCGAGGATGGTGTTTATTCAAAGTGGGCCGTTTATTAAAAAATGTTACTAATTGTTAAATATTCTGTAGTCAACAACTTTGCCTTTAAATATTTAGGTTCTCAAAAAGGAGTACATATATATAATTGCTCAATAATAACATGTCAATCTTATAGCGCATCACACCACGACTTTCACTGCGATTTACATCATTACCCCGGTCATTGGATTTATGAACACTATAGAAAGCATTCCATGGGGCTGCAGTCTTGTTATCTGTGCATTGGCAGTTTCAACTTGCCAGATGTCAATTTATAATCCTGGGTGTAGTGAGGATGGCATGAATAATGTGCCCTGCCAAAAAAACAAAAATAAGTGACCAATTTCCAGTTTGAACTCCGGATTTTTCAATGGTAAGTCTGCTGCTTTACCACTGTGTCACATGCCTAATCATTTACAAACTGTAATTGTTTATTTAACAACTTGTTTTATGTTTAATTTATGTTTGTATTAAGGTGAGGTAGATTGACACACTTCTTTGGGGGCCTGGTAATGAGAATTTGAATTATATCCGCATTGATAATTTGTTCGATGAAAGTCCGGCCCACAGCAAAAAGTCGGTCGCTTGAATCATATAGTGATTTCAACACTTTACACCAAGAACGTAAAGCATGATTAATAATGTCAATGAAGCCATCTGATTACCAATAAGATGTGATGACATAAAAACAGATTTACAGTTTAATATGCATTGCAATTAAGACTTGTACATTGCATCGGTGGATGTAATCAATGCAACTTGTTACGGTTATCGTAAATTGACTTGCAGCTTGATTACATGGATTTAGATCAAAGACAACTGATGCTTAACTGAAATTCAGCATGATTAAATATTATCTTAGCCTAATCCAGAATTTTAAAAAGTTTGTTTTAATCTTTTATGTATTAGTGTATGTTTTTTTATACTGTAGAATATCGGTCATGACAGCCCGTCATATATTTGATAGGATTTTATTTCGGTTTAAATATCTTTATTTTGTAAAACCTAAAGGTGTGAATTACTGCGATAGCTACTTGATGAAATAGAATCAAACTATTCTATGCATTTTCTTCTTTGTATAAATGGTACATACAAAAGTTAAAATAAGTTATACAATAGTAGTCCTAAATATATAAATCTTAAAGAATAAGTTTTTGCTTAACAATTTAAAATTATGAAACCATATTACTTAAATTGAATGCAAGGAATTAGGCAATTGCCAAAGAAGATAAAAACCTTGTGTTGGGCTAGCCCAAAAAGTAAAAAAAACATAGATTAGAATGACGACAAAACAATAAGCGGCCAGACAGACAATACGTAATACTAAGACAAATGTCATTTATAGTATTACCATGCCTCTATCCAATTCTACGTAATTCTGTTAATATCATTTGTAAAATAGTTTTTGCCTTCCCATATTAGGATCATATTAATTACCCTGATGCAATCAAGAGTAGAAATATCCAATTCTGCATATGCTAATATCATTTGTAAAATTGTTTTCACACTCCATATTAGAATCCTACCACATATGTCATTAGTATTACCATGCTTTATCCAATTCACTGTAATTCTGTTAATATCATTTGTAAAATAGTTTTCACCCTCCCATATTAAACTCCTACCTTACGTCATTAGTATTACCGTGCCTTTATCCTTTTCTACATTATTCTGTTATTATCACTTGTAAAATTGTTTTTGCCCTTCCATATTAGAATCGTACTAATTGCTGACTGAAGACAGTATATTGTCTCTTCAGATAAACATATGGACGATATAAATAATTAAAAAATTAAATATTATGTTTGTATAAATAAATAACAAATTAAATTTTTTTTAAATTTGTACTCTTGATTTGTTTCAGAATAATGCAAATAATGAGTATGTACAGTATAAATATATAACAAATTAGATATTTTTTATTATTTCTTCTCCTGATTTGTCTGAATGATGGATAAAAAATTGTCAACAATTGATTTTGGCAGATGGTTTCTTTATTGATGTTTTGACTATTGCTTTTCAAATTCAGACATTATATAAATACAACCCATCTTATGCGCACCTGTATCGTTGACAGAGATTAGTTGATTAAATGATAAAACCACATTTACATTTTTCAATTGAACAACATGCGTTTTGAATCAAAGGGAAAATACCTGCCTCACATTCAACACTATTATGTTAATCTCTCAAAACAATTGCTGTTTTCATCTGATGTCGTTAAGATCGCATTTTTACAGCATAAACCAATACAATTGAATAGTAATTTTATACTGTATTGTATTAGCAGGCAGGTCGTTGACTTATATGTGCTGGTAGCCACTTTTATATTAGAAATAAATATTCTGAATCAGGCTAGGCCGATTGTCAAGTAATTTTCCATGATTTGTAGAGGGCACTGTTGGCCTATCATGCTCCAACCAGGGAGGAGAGGGGTATAGCTACAATTGGCTTCATAGTTTTTTTATTTAACTATACTATTTATATTTGTATTATTTTATGTTAAGTAATTTTTAACATAAATACACATCATTTTTTAATGTTGAACAGTATATTGTTTTTGTTATTATACATATGAACTTAATATTTGCTCTACCATGAACAGCTACAGGCGGTAAGCTTTCGTAAGTCATCATCATTGATAAAATTGTGCATGTAGTGGATAATGTAGCAAAGCCTTTGGATCTATAAATGCAAAGGCCGGAATCCGGCTCCTACTGTTTCACAGATAATTCATTCAAGCTAAGCTCTCTTATGGTGTAGTGTTTGAGCAGGGATGAATTTGAGTAGCTGAGTATCAAAATAGACAGTAAAATAATTCACAATTCAGGCCTGAAGTGTTGTCACTCAGAATGTAAACTGAATAGATGTAATTATCTGACACATAGTATTATGTTATTAAATCTAATGTGTTTTGGCAGAATTTTTTTTGTTTAGAGTTATCGAGTGACAGCAGCCATTTCAGTGAAGAGGAAATGCAACTTGATTGTAATGATGATGAAAATATATAGTAATAGCAATAGAAAGAAATAAAAAATACAGAAAAACAGGAAAATAATTATATATTAAGAATACTGTATGATTAACAGTTTCTGGTAAATTTAGCATCAGTATGCTAAAATAAATAAATATGTATAAAAATAAACAATAAAATGATGATGATGATTTCTAATCAATTATTTAATATTTTGGAACTACCAATCTATAGCATAAGTAAACTACACTATACTAAGAAAAGGTTCAATTAAATAAAAATAGTAATACATTGTTATTATGTTAAAAATAACTGAAGAGGATTTGCTGCTTTCCAATCCCTGGGTCCTGGGATGAAACCCAGTCACACCAGGGTTTTCCTTGTACGTAGGCTCCACAGGAAAAAGGGTCCTAGCCAACCTTTTTCCCACCTTTTTTCACCCCAGTTTTTAAATATTTAAAAATCTGTGTCTCATTAACCACTGTCGAAACACGGAACATGGGCAGTGAAATAAATAAAATAATTTATAATAATGATAATTAAAGTGATGGAAGTATCATAACAAATATTGATTAAATTCAGGCTTTGGGGGAAAACAAAATTTTGGTATGCTGTATAACTGATTTTTCACACAAAAAGCATATTTGACGGGGGGGAAAAGGGCGTAACCACCACTTTTCTACCTTACCACCACCACCCCCATTTCTAAATATTCAAAAATCTGTATCTCATTGACCACTTTTTTCGTCAAATATACTTCTTGTGTACAGCGTATAAAAAACAATTTTTCTAGAGACTGGCTCTTTGATACTAAACTTCATAAGGAAATTACTGCAAATAAACATTGTGATGATACACTTACTAATAATTGGTAATTGTTTTTAAATTCTTGTCTTCATGCGGTTTATCTGAAGCAGAAATAAAAAATGAAAAAAAAACCAAAAAAAAACCATGAAATTAATTCTCTCTTGACTCATCATATTAAAAACAAAATTCTTATTTAATTTAAACAAAATTATTGTTTTTGAAAGTGTAGATGCCAATCAACCAGAATGGTTTTTAATTAGGAAGGCCCACTGGCCAAAAGCAGCCCACCAGTGAATATAAAATAGTCTGCGTAAATATGACGGAGTACCATGGAAAATACAAAATGAAATATATTAATACATTCACACTGTAAATTTATGTCATTAATAACCTTTCAAATACAATCCAAAAGGTTGAAAATTGTCATTTCAATGTACATAGGACTAGGAGTGGGTGGATGTTGTTGATTTGATGTACTATACTAATGTTAGTAATGAACTTTGAAAATGATGTATTAAAACATTATTGCTGTAAATTTATATCAACCTTTAAATACAATCCAAGCAGCTTGCAAATTAAACAAATTTTATGTTATTTTATATGTTAGTGGATTCTATGTGTAAATATGAACTTTGAAAATGATGTAGGAAATGTATTTTAAACATTAATTCTGTAAATTAAAGTCAACAATAACCTTTCAAATACAGTCCAAATGCTTGCAAATTAAACAACCTGTAATGGTAGTGTACAAGGATGTACTGTATGTTGGCGATTTCATGAGCTGTTCTAAAATTATTAACTGTGAACTAAAACATTAATTCTCTAATTTTATGTCACTGATCAAAACCTTGCAAATTATTACAAATTTTCAAGTTTATTTTCGTCGAATATCATTTTTTGTTTTCGAACGTTCATGTTATTTTAAATTAACTGTAAATTCAAAACATGAATAATGTATATTTGTATGCTATAGATAAGTGGTATTTTACCATACATCTGCTATTACATTTTTTAATCACGACAACCACTTATTGATTTAGTTGTCCTGTGTTAGGCCTACGTTCTCTTCACCGATTCGGGTTAAAATACATCTTGAATTCAGACTATTTGTAGTTCAGTATTTGTAATACAATTTATACACAAGGGACACAATTGAATATTTTTACTTGTATAAGTCTGTAGTTACAAATGACATTTTAGATTTTATAATACAGTTGAAATTTTGTTTTATCGATTTTTCAGGAAGAAGAAAAGACAGAGTGTTGAATCAGTGGATGCACAAGAATCGGATGAAGCCCTCAGAGCTTGTTCAAGACTTTCCAAATATTGCATTTCTGATGTAGATTGTGTGCAAAAGGAACTCCTAGCATCCGATGTCACTGAACACAGTAAAAGCAGAAAGTATGAAACTGAACCTCCTGAAAAACTTGCAAAAAACAAGGATGGTTTAAGCGGCGGTCTTGAAGAACATCATTTACCAGAGGTTGATCAGGAAAGTCAATGTATGAAAGATAGGAGCAGCATCTCTTCCGAAGGCATTCTTGCAGCTGAGAAGCGAAGAGAGATTGCAGGTAACATCAATGATGTTGAAAACAACTGTTTTCGTATGGAGAGTTTGTCTCTATCAGATCAAGAGGGTGAATATGACTCTGACAGAGATAGCTATCGTAGCTCAGTGGACAGCAGTGTCTGCAGCCTTGATAAGAACAGTGTCCATAGTACTACCAAGAGTAACAATATCCCACACTCAGACAATAGAAGTACCCAAAGCCTGGATAGATCCAGTGTTCATAGCCCGAGTAATAGCAGTCTTCATCACTCGGATGAGAAAAATTCCCATAGCTCTAGTAAAAATAGCATCCATAGTCCTCCTGAAAGCAGTATCCATAGCCATGGTAAAAGCAGTAGCCATCACTCAGACAGAAGTGTCCATAGCTCTGGTAAAAATAGTCCTGTTGAAAATATTGTCCTTAGCCTGGGTAAAAGCAGTGACCAGAGCCCAAGTGGGAGCAGTATTCACGATATTGGTAACAACAGTGTTGATACCTCTCGGAAGAGCAGTGTACAAAACTCTGGTAAAAGTAGTGCCTGTAGCAGTATTCCAAGCAGTGCCTACAACTCTGATGATAGCTGTTTGCCTGGGTCTGACATTGCCGAATCTGCTGCGATTAAAGACAGTACTGCCAAATATGCTTTGGAAACTCAACAAAACAGGGTTGTAGATATTGACAAAACTTCCACACCAGACGAATGCAATGCCAACTTGGATTTCGATCTTAGTTCAGAGATCAGTTTATCAGATGGGGATAATGAACCAGTTGCTAGAAAAAGCACCATTGTGGAGACTTCTGACCAAAAAATCTCAGATATCTGCGATCAGATGTCGTCTCATGGAAAGAGTCAACCAGATGATCAAACAAGTAATCCATATGTACAGTATGGTCCATTTGAGATGCCCACATGCAACCCATGCGACATCGTTGTTACTTTTATAAATGAGCAAGGTATCATCTATGGCCATGAGATTTCAGAAGGTTAGTGGATTTTAATATTTGCATTTTATTTCTCTGTCACATTATTAAGAGATTGGCTTAGCTCGGTCGGCTAAACTTGCGGTAGCCACTGTGTGTGCGCTGAACAGTGGAGATCCCTTGATCCCTGTTTCAGTTTCTTGGATATGCTAACAGCAATGTACAGAAATCAACTTACTTTGCTTCCCATAGATTATTCCTTTTCATCTGAAAATACATTTAGCACAGACACAATCAACATTACCAAAGGACATTGAACAATGGATTTATTTGGTGTAATCGCCAAGGATGACCCCGAAAGTCTGAAGACGTATTACCATGTGCATGTTAAAAAACGCAGTATACTCTTCAGAAAATACAGTAGTGGGGGAACAGTTGAATTACAGGTCTGCCAGTGTACCACCCAATCCCCAGTGTGGTCCACCAGAAGGACCCCACTGGAAATACGTCTTCAGACTTTCGTGGGTTATCCTTGGCATTTGCACCGAATAATCCATCCATCAATGTTCTTTGGTAATGTTGAATGTGTCTGTGCTAAATGTACTTTCTGATGAATAGGAATAATCTATGGGAAGCAAAGTAGGTTGATTTCTGTACATTGCTGTTAGCATATCCAAGAGCCTTCCTCTACTATGTGTACAACAGAAACGTAAGCATTCTGTCCTACAGTCCTTTGGTCTTTAAGGATCAATATTCTTCCTCACTAATTCATTATACATGTTACCATTACTCTAAGTACCCAACAACGACTCAAACTTGTTCTGTGAAAAGTGAGATTTATGGCTTAAAGATGTAATTATTCCCTGGTGTATTGCCACAGTATGAATTTAAACTGAGCATGTATAAGACATCACTGGTGCCTTTCAGCCACTACAAGACAGGTCAGATGAGAGATTATGTTAACTAATGAGAGCTATAACATAAGTCTTTTTTATTCTACATATATCTGTTCACCAACTTAATCTAACCAATAAAGATTACAATAAAACCTTATAAAAACTGTACCGGCTACCGGTACATGTCCTAGCAGTATACACTGTGTATAATAGCCATATAAATTGGCCTTGATAAGATCGATAGATACACAGGCCAAATTTTCTAGTTTAGCCTCAGGCCAACTGAAGTATTTCAGAATAAGATATATTGCCTGTTTAAAATTTTTTTAAACCTGAAACAATTTTTTAAAGAAAGCACTGATTTAGCTTATTTGCAAGCCATCAATTGAGTTTATTAAAACTGGTTTTTTTTTTCTCACCTCTGTTTTCTTGATAGGCTAGTAAAACCATTAAAGTCACTGTTATTTAAACAGTGGTCTCAAATTGCAAGAAATGGTACAATGGTTTTGGTTCCCCTGCATAGTCTGTTTTTGTGGCTTTCCTGTGTTTTTTTTAATTTTAGGGTAGTTTGTTCTCTTTTTTTTATCTGGGTATGTGCAAATAGAATGGTATAGTTGGACCCTCTTTTATTTTTAATTAATAAAATGGGTTTTTTAATTCTTAAATTAAATCAGATATTTTGCACATGGTTATACCAAGGAAGTGCTACCTTATGCTATCTATTCCTTGTCTCCGTCGTTGTTATATCTTTTTTTTAACAACCCTTGAAAGAACTGTGGTCTATATAAGACTAACAATCTTCTTTACTTAAAAATTGTATTTTGACTGATTATATTCAAGTCAGATGAGCAGAAAATTATTTTTATAGAAAATATTTGCATATTTGATGTAGGGATATAGGAAAAATCAATCATGCCTTTTATCAAGATTAATGATACAAGAAATGGCAATTCACAATTGAAATTAGCAATATTTCTATGAATGTATACAACATTTTATGCTGTTTTGACATTCATATATTTTATTATTATATGATTTGCAACTTTGGGATGATAGAAAATATACTGCATTTTTTATGTCGTTCTTTTCATTTCATCATCAAATTACTGTATGAAATATACAGTATGTATGGGATGTTTTATTAACCTTTCATTTCTAAGGATTGATACTATGATTGTGAGATGGAATGCAAGCATCTTAGCATGTTGACTGATAACTGCAAACATACTCATATTACAATGTGTTACGGCAGCACCACAAGAAACTGCAAACCTTAATATGCCAGTTCACTCATCAAGAACAGTGATGGAAAAGCCTATAGTCTTTAAGGAAAAAAACTTTTCCTTTGCTCTCTATTCCTTCATAACATTACCACATACTCTGCTACAAGATACAATAAGGGTGCGTTCGGGCGAGAACCGGAAAACCTTTACTAGTTTCTTACCGGTAAAAGTATCCGCGGGTGGTCTACCCGTTAATGCACAACTCCAACACAACACCGCTTTCGAAAAACCATTAACCTCGGATGTCAATATGTAAATGCCAGTTTCTATCCCATAATCCCCTTTTATACCTCCTCGCTCGGCCCTCTAGCCTCTCTCCCTCTCTCTAAAAAAAAAACGCGCGATCCATTTCCCGATTCTCCCGAACGTAATTTATAATACAGTAATTAATAATAATACTTGACATATTTTCGACTGCCATTTCAAAATGATGAATTTTTACCAACTAACGGCAGTTGTCACAACGTTGCTAGGTATCCAGGCGCGATTGTTCTTACAAGAACAACCACAACAAGACGGCCTGGAAATGGCAGCCCTGATGATTAGATTGTTTATAAAAACAGAAAATTACTACCATTGTCAAACAAATAAGCAGTGGCCCCATGATGATGATCGGTATGCAAGCGGACGCGAGTAATTAACAACCTGGATTCTAGGCTAGCCCTCCGTTGAAAATATTATTTTATCGAGCTTTTCAGTTTTGTTTTTGGAAAATAACTGTAAAAAGAATCGGGAGAATTAAAATGTAAACAAACTTTAGCTCTGGCGCGTGCCGAAACAATTAAAAAGCAATCAAAAAAGGATTAAATAGGATTAAATGCTCCCTGCTGCTAATGCATGCGCAAATAGGCCAGTTTTAATCCTCCAGAACACTGCAATTTGCAGCGTTGGGTTATCGGCGAATATCAGCAGGCGGTCCGCGATTAACACCCGTTCGGGCAAAAACTAGAAATTGCTGTTACCGCTTTTACTCCGTGTTCAACACCAAAAAAAAACTCGCCCGAACGCACCCTAAGTCATCTGACGTAAAGACTTCATATGGATCCAAATGGATATTTGTAATATATTTCATTTTGTTGATTACAGTAAAGATGTAGATGCAGTTTGGCACTGTGGAAATGGTTTGGTTTTCCAACCTCTCGTGTATGGGGGTTTCATTCCTTGCTCTTTATTTTACTGGTGTCTTTGAGAAAAGGACTTGATCTGCATTGCTTCTCTCTACTTAAGAGTTTATATGGGTATCTGGTGGGGTTGCTTGCTCCTGTACTGATTACTAGCAGCAACATTTGAGCATGTGGATCTAATGACCTGGAAATGACCTTTTTTTATCTGAAAAGGTCAACAGAACACACCCCGAGAAGGGTCGAGGACAAGCCCCATGAAGCTGTAGCATTCTAGTCTAGCATGTAAATGGTAAATTTCATTTTATGTTTGGTGCAAGTGATGGTTTGGTTTATCAGAAGGAGGCTCACTCAATTGGGGTTTGGTCAAACATTGGAAACTTCGCTAGTGAAAGCCTAAGGAAAGGAAGATGGGTGAATGTTTGGATTGGTTGATAGAAATTATAAAAGATTAGCTGTTTCATGACTACTCTGCATAAAACACACATTTTAACACATACACTGTAAAAAAAATGTACACCTCATATATTAACGTATCTTGTATTGGCTTCAGTATTTTTCTCTTTATTCATCTACACTTCTAAATTTACTACTACATGTCTAGGAATGCTCCCCAGTGTGCTTCAAACATTCTATGATTTATGGAAATCGCAATTGCAATACAGATCACTATTTATGATATAGCAAGAGATCATTATTTTACGATCCACCAATTCACGGCACTGTAGGAAGCGGCGCTCACAAGCATGAACCACACTACACACTTGCATAGTTGGACGCTGGAGGCTATCCATTTGAAATTTAAGATGTAAACAGGAATATATTCTGACTATTTCCTCCATTGAATGTTGTTTTCAATCCACACTGTGAATTCATCTTTAGAAAAATACCTCATTGAACAATCACTTACAAACGGTTACTAAAAGCCTGTCGTAAATTTTCATTATATTGCGATTAGAAACATGTATTTTATAATTGCTAAGAGAAATAGCTGTTAAGTTCGTCTAATATCGTACATTCCATGGGCAATATTGGAACAGAACCTGTGGACATATTTCACGGTCAAAATATCTATGCTGCTCGTGACCTGGGAATTGATAGTAAAACTAAATAAAGTAGGCCTAAATTCTGGTAATTAACCTAGGCGGGATTGACACTAATACCATTTAAATTTTAATGAAAAAAAATGTAATATTTGTTGACCAGAAGAGCCTTAGAGATCAAAATTACATCAAAAAAACCAATACATGTTTCGGAAGAGTGCTAGCATAACCAATGCAGTTGTTTATAGGATTTCAGTTCAGTCTTTTTCATTGTTATTGAAGATGCTCTAGTTTATATTTACACTAGGGAGAACAGAATAGAAGCTCTGAGCTAATGCCATTCAAAGACCAAAATCCACGCTAGTAATGCTCCCGTAACCACAGTTGCAATGAGCAATCTTTAGAGAAAATATTGCAAAATCGCTCAAGGATTGCAGCGCACGTTTAACCATGATGCAAACTTTTGAACCAGCATCTGCCCGTAAACGCAAGTTGGTACTTAATGAGTTCATTCGATATAGTTTACTGATTTTTTTATGTATACCTAATTACTTGTAAAGTCGATCTGTTGTAAATCATTACGTATGGCTTTATGGTTTGTCTCTTATTTAAAATCAAGACTATTTTTAATTACCGGACCTAATGGCAAATTTGCCTCTCAGATTCAACATGTAATAGAATAAATTTAAGACCAAGACATCAATCTAACAAGTATCCAATATTAATGCATTATTTAAGGAGAATAAATGATACACCAAATAATTAATAATAATTTTATTTGTTATATAGCACACGTATCTATTTCAGGTCAATGTATACAGATCATTTAAGCCAATATGTCTAGATTTAGCACCAGACACTAATCTGGCATGCATCCCATAATATTAGTACATTAATTAAAGATAATAAGTAATACTTGCAATCATAAATTATAATTTTATTTTCTTATGTAGCACATGTATTTATTTCAGATCTTTGGATAGTATCATTAAAAACAAAACTGATTGAATAATTTTGCATTCAGTCAGCAATTTTGGGAACAAAAATTATGTTTGAGGCAACTATATTCAAGTAACATTTTTGTAGTTACAATCATTTTGACACTCCAACTTGCAGTGAGATGCAGTAATTAGGAGAGGGCAGCGTAGATCAGTCAAGTAAAATGTGTGCGAACTCAAATGCGAAGACCTACACAGAGCTTTGTTTCCTAGTTCAATATAATTTTACTGCAATCTTTTAATGGTCATGTGGAACCTTCAATACATACCAAGAAATACAATACAAAACCTAAATTTCAAATTAAGCATTTGAAACCATGGCTAAATTTCACAATTGGTGAATAAATATTTTATATTTATTTCCAACGGCACACTTGCTAAAATTCACCTTTCTGTGATGTATGAACCCTTCATTCGTCATTATACTGTAAGAAAATAATTAATAAATGAGAAAAAATAATATACTGGCATACGCACCAATCACATGTAAAAGCTTTTTTGGCCTGGGCATTTATATGTCAGAGGTTAATACCCATCATAATGGTGTGCTATAAATGCCACGGCTTACCAATCTCAAGAAATATATGTCAGATAGGAACAATATTTAATATGCTATGGCACCAACAAGGCTTACTCTAGGAAGTAGTTTGTAGTTGTAAGACAACTAAATTGCAAATTTGAAAATAGTGAAATAATTATATACTGTATTATTATAATAATAATAAATAATAGAGTTAAAATTCTAAGAATTCTTTGGCAAATCTGATGATGCAAATACCATCTTTATTTGAAACATTGAGAATTATGAGAATGGCTATGGAAATTGATTGTTGAACACACCGTGTGACCCTAAGTACCCGATTCTGAAATTCAGAAATTAGTATTATGTATTAATAATTCATAATGGTGTGGGCTATATCCTTATGAATGTATATGTATTACGATTTAATGAACCTTTACACAGTGGCATAACAGCTTTGAGCTCTCACTAGTTTAAGCCAGGGGCCCCGGAGAATCAAGGGGCACCCCCACAAATTATTTTTTTTTTACAAACAAATAACCAAGTGAAATTAAACCATGAGCAAAAGCATTGACACATGAATATGATAGATATGTTTTTGTCCATAAATATTTATTGATTTTAATTTGATTTTTATTTATTGTAATATGTTTATTAGTGCTTTTTTTTTTTGGTCAAATCATGATATATAAACTTAGAATTTTAATGTGTAAAAAAGACATTAAAATACATCATAGAATGCTAAAAATGCCAGACAGCCACTGGGGCTCTCCACAGCCCCAGGCCCCAGCGTTTTGGGCCCCTATAGGGCCCCTGCCCAGGGCCGCCGGCCCCTTTGTTACGCCACTGCCCTTACATCATATTCAATTTTTTAGTTATTAATACGAAGTTAAGAAGTAAAATGAAAGTTATAAAATGGTAAAAGAACCATTTAAGTCCAACATTTTGTTATGAAGTTACAAAAGTTTAAACATACAGCTGTTTAATAAACGGTATTTGAGAAATCAGCCTTCAAAGTTTACAGTTTTCGGACATTTAAAGGCCATAACCAAATTACAACATGGCATGATGTATACATAGAGAAATTCTCTATGATAGATATAAAGTTTAGTGCACTGAAATATATTTTGAAAATTTTCACATTCCAACATGTTTTGCCCATCATGTTCGAAACACGACTTGCGAGGAGTGACTGATTTGGCTTGTCTTCGCCACATATTGGTAACTTACAAGTAATGTCGGATGAAATTTTACAGTGGACATATAGCCTAAGTTTAGATAAAACATTGTAAATTTCTGAAGCTGTTTGATGTCTTTCTTTGTCAAACTAGCCCCCTCCCATTACCCCTTTTCCTGGAATCTGGATTTGACATACTTGTATCACATCATAGTTTTATTGACCTCACCCCTGTTTGAATTCATTAATTTGAAGTCTAATGTACATTAGGACATTAACCTATCATATATTTTAAGAATATTCATCAACATTGAATATTCCAAGTTGTCACAACATTTGTAGCCTCTGTTGGCCTGTTTTGTTCGACCTAAGTGGGTTAATGCACCAATCTAATTTGTTATCAATTACGGTACCTAAACATTTGTATTCAGAAGCTACATAAATCTCAGTACCCACAATGTTTAGGTTTTATGTTCTG